GTTGGACACTTAACCAACTGAGCCACCCAGGCGCCCCTCCATTATGAGTTTAAATAAATATAAAGGACGCAATTTCAAGTATACTATAAATAAAACTATTACATCCTCATTTAAACATATCCAATGGTTATCTATAATCATTTAAAAAATATATGAACATGCGCTTCCTTAATATTTAGAAATAAATTAGTTTTCCTTTTTCTTTTTTAATTAATATTTTCAGACTACCACCCTTATAGATATTTTCTAATTTAATGTGTTTTTTTCTAATACTGTGTATTTTTTTTTAAGTAAACTCTACCCCTAATGTGGGGCTCGAACTCATGACCTTGAGATCAGGAGTCACATGCTCTACTGACTGAGTCAGGCACCTCTCTAATACTATATTTTCTAGTGTAGTATGTTTGTATTTTTATTTTATTCCTGAGACCATAAAGATTTAGGTGTTAAGGTAGCTTTTTCCTTCTAGGTTGAATTATCATTACAATTAATAAAGAACTGATCAATACAATCTAAGTATACTATAATTTTAGATAATTAATAAAACAAAACCTAAATTTTTATTGGAAATTAGTTTCTTAATATGATGAATGGGGCTTTCCTTTTTTTGCACCTAACAACATACTTTTTAGCTAAAAACTCTGAACTACAGATTTAGTGTATTTAATTTACTGATAAAATACCCACCCTAAGACCCAATTAGCAAGGGCAGTCCTCACAATCAAACTGTTAAATAAGGCAAGTGTATTAGTATCACAGAAAAAAAATCTGACTTCATGTTTTGACTGAAATAAATATGTTAGTATGCACTATGGGATATAATATTATGAAAACCACTGAGAAATAAATTATAAAACTAGTCAAGATTAAGATTATTTAAATCCAAGGTGATTGTTTTATCCATTCATGTACCTTAAAAAGCAAGGTAATAAATCACTTTTCATTACTTAAATGCTGTTTCTCATTACCAAATTTATAATAATGCAATCTAATATACAGATACAATTGTAAGTTACTTACAAAAGGAGGAGTATGATTAAAAAAAATCAATATGCCTTCAGTAAATATGTGGACATACATAAAATTTTGATGTTCAATTTTGGAAATAAAAAAAAACCAAGTATAAAAGTCAGGTATGACACATTAATTTTGTTAGATATGGTAGAAACTAATCAGTCTAGCAGCCAGTTTTTATTTTATTTTAATATGAAGTCAAAAATATCACAATTTGGCAAATGGCTTTTAACAGTTTTTCTGAATCACAACTTACATGAATACGAAAGAATGGGTTAGTCAATGTAACTTCAAAACTTTAGCAGCCCCAGAAAATACTCCAGTTATATTTAAAAGATTCCACTTCACTAACTCATATTATTTTGGCTGTTTTTCTTTACAGCAAATGACACATCCTAGGGATGAGTATTAAGATTAGCCAAAAGCACTGTCTATATTTAAACACATACGTCAGTTTTATATTCAAATTTTCCTATGTTCTTGCTTCTGTACTCTCACAATACTCCCTCTTAAAAAGCAATATATTCACTGTCAACAGCTGGAGAACAAAAGAGATCAGGACCTTAAATGAAAATTGGTCATTATTCCCACCTACCATGTGTCAGAACTAAGAATATCCCAGGGCGCCTGGGTGGCTCAGTCGGTTGAGTGTCCGACTTCTGCTCAGGTCATGATCTCACTGCTCATGGGTTTGAGCCCCCATGCTGACAGCTCAGAGCCGGGAGACTACTTCGGATTCTGTGTCTCCCTCCCTGTCTGTCCCTCCTCCTGCTTGCACTCTCTCTCCCAAAAATAAAAAAACAAAATTAAAACATTAAAATTAAAAATAAAAAGAACTAAGAATATCCCACAAGACAAAATATATTTTTTCTAACATGGTTTATCCTTTTCTGCACAAGAAAAGAAAGGCACACTTATGTGTACACACTCCCTTAATTAACCATTAAAGGAGACTTCTTTATTTGGTACACTGGAAGTTTTTACACGACAATGCACAAAGGCAGTTATCAGTGAAGAATCAATACAATGGGTATCAGTGATGGACGTGTCTTTCTTTTATAAAGTTAGTGTGGTAACCTCCAAGATGGCCCCCTAAGATCTCTTGTGTAGTCCCATCCCACAGTCCAACCAGGGGTTGATCTATGTCACCAGTAGGATATAGCAGAAGGTATGTCATTTATGATATTAGATTACTAAGGACATTATGTCTTTCCTTTCAGCCTCCCTCAGATCACTCACTCTGGGGAAGC